AAAAACAATCAAGCCCTGCTCATATTTAAAAAGTAATGCAAAAGTAACGTAACGCATTCCATTCCATACAAAGTAACTAAGTAACGTAATTAGTTACTTTTTTATGGAGTAGCGCAATATTGTAATGCATTACTTTTAAAAGTAACTTTCCCCAACACCGGTTATAATTTTGTAATTATATTGTTTATTTATAACTTATATTTTCTCATTTATTATTTGGTGCCTAAATTGATATTTTGTTTTGAAGGAAAATGAAGCCCCTTCCAGACTTTCCCTCTGCTGTATAGGATTTGGAGTCAGAAGGGAAGCCCGCATCTTACACGAATGCTCCTTTTTGTGGCTAAATTAAATGTTTCCTTGCGAGTAAAGTCGGTCAGTTGTCAGTCAAACAAATTCACTTTTCGTCACCACAGCTTAAAGCTTCATCTTGCTTATTTTAATGAGGCTATATTGTATTCACTCGCTACCTTTCTCTCCCTCTTTACAATGATGTCTTCATTAAAGTGTTTCACACATCGCATTAATGTAATGGGGTTCTCTGGATTCCTGCTTCGGCCATTAATCGGCCATTGAGCAGCGAGATAAAAGGGTGTCAAGTGGCTGATGTTAACGCGACACTTAACTTGACACAAGCCTGTTGTTTCAGACCACTGCTCTCACTTTTATGCATGCAGTGCCGTGGAAACGGGGGAACTCACCCATTGGCGTCGATTCATTCCGTCATTTACCGTGAGTCCTTCTTTGTTCAGATGCTAAACACTCTCTATTCAGACGGATACAGGACCAACAAAATTGCATTCATTTGATAATGATATATATAAAGTATTTGGACATGCGTAATTGTTAGTGGATCCTGTTGATAATTAATGTGATTCTCTACACCTGTGGTTACGCCAGTACACCTGTGCGAACTTGAGAAGAACTGATTTCAAGCTCTAAAATGTATCTATCTATCTATCTATCTATCTATCTATCTAAATATGAAATAAAGAAAGAGATTTGCTTGCAGATTCCACAATATAAACAGAATGTATGCTGTCAATTTATGCTGCCAATAGTGGTAAAAAAAACACTTAGAGGCTCATGTGCATTTGAATTGAAATAACCATCATGATGTGATTACCCAAGTATTGAGGTAACCATCATGCTGTGATTTTGGCATTTTAAATTTTGTACATGATCAGGGAATATTGTTTAATAGTTGTGCTTATTCTCTTCTAGCATTCACATGCTAGTAGAAACACATAAATAAATAAAAATGGTGCAAATATTTTATGTATGCAGTCTATAGAGAGGGAATAAGCAGAGCTGAATAAGCATGTTTTCTAAACCTTAAATTGAATATTATAGGAATAGAATCATAAACATATCCAAACTGATGTTTCTTTAGAATATTACAGGATATGTTCACAAAAAAAACATTTATTTACCCTGCATTTGGGAGTTTAAAATAAAGAGTTCTTCAGAATAAAATAAAAAATAAAATTCAAAATCATTATATTTCTAATAGCATTTTTCTAATAAATATACTTTTTACCAATTATGCCAAGCTCTATTTTACCGGATAAAAATTGTGAGTAAAAAATAAAAACAAAACCAGGGCTATAGTGTCAGGGTTGGGGATGAAGGGATGAGGCGAGGACTCAATAGTGCAGGAATGGGCTTTTATTAATAAAATAAAACAAAACAAACAACAAAAACTACCCCGTGGGGGAAAAACAGGCTGGCAAGGCAGGGATGCAACACGACGCGACAGGATACATTCAATGGTGATACAGTGACAAACTCACCCAGGACTGCAAACACAAGGAGAATAAATGGAGAGCAAATGAGGAGGGTAACGAGGGAACACATGTGGGGCAAATTAACCAATAATCAGGTAACAAGATGGGTGGGGTCAAGACAATTGACATGAGAGCACATGGCACACAGGAAACAAAGACAAAAGCAATGTGCTCACACAAAACAAAAACACAAGCACATGGCCAGCAAAACAATCACAAGCCATGTGCTTGAACAAAAAGACATGAACACGCAGCTAATGAGAAAACTCATAAGCCACGTGTTCACACAAGACAAAAAGAAAAGCACGCGGCTGAACACAAACCACGTGCTACACAAAACACGTGGACAGAAGAGCGCACGGCCGAGCGAACTCGAGACCGCACGCTCACACAACCAGACAGAACATGGAGCGCGAGTGTCCGGACCCTGACACGAAACCGAAACTCAACAAGACATGAGTGTCGGGATCTGAACACCACGCTCCAACATGAAACAGTACACGCAGACGAGAGCGCACGGCTCGAGCACTCTCGAAGCCGCACGCTCACATGAAAACAATGACATGACGGGAGTGTCAGGGCTCTGTCACAAAACCATGAATTACACTAGACCGAAGTGACAGAACCCTGACATATAGGGTTTTGAACATGTTTACAACGGAGGTCTTGGAGTCAAAAAGGTGAAGCCACTGGCATACAACTTGTTTGCGCTACGTTTTTAGCTCTTTGCATCCTTTCTAAAGCTTGAGAGTTACATTCTCTATTTATTATAATAGACTTTAGTCAGGGTAGAGTCATATTTAATTTTTGATAGGAATGAAAACAAGACTGTGAGGGACAGAAATAATAATTAATAATAGTAATTCCTTACATTTATATAGCGTTTTTCCGGGCACTCAAAGCACTTTACATAGAAGGGGGGAATCTCCTCAACCACCACCAGTGTGCAGCATCCACCTGGATGATG